AATAAAAGTACTTTTCTAAGAAAGTGTAATCCCAAATATAACATATGTTAAATTTGACCACTTTCTAAATGGCACTGTGCAGTCATAACCACTCGATCCCGTTAGTCACCTCTTACGACAAGCATGGGTTGCTGAAGACCTAACCCGGATCTTCATGGGTGCTTCTAAATGCCTCTCAAAGAAGAATCCATTGTGTGAGAAAGTGTATCAGAGTTTATGTCTATGGTTATCGATATCTGGTGAGCATTATCCACAGAAACAATGTTTTGGGGTTGATGGTGGTGGTTGTGGTTAGGTTTCAATGTCCTATTGGAATCATTCGCACTTATACTCGGACTCATTTTCCGGACAGGACAACGAACTCGAGGAACAACTGCTGCCTGGGACTATATGTAAGAAGATGTCACTCTCTGGAAAACCTTAGCAGTCAAAAACTACTTTTACTCCAAACTGAAAACTGATACTGTGTATATTACATCTTCAACACATATATATGTTTATAAACTTTATCACATAATATTATAATAAATACTATCGTCATATTATTACCTTCTAGAAAAAAACACCTATGCTTTTGGAATGATGCTGCTCATCTTGACATTTGGCGCACATCAATACACTACGTGAGTGAGTGAGTTTAGTTTTCCGCCGGACTCAGCAATATCCCAGCTATATGGCGGCGGTCTGTAAATAATCGAGTCTGGACCACACAATCCAGTGATCAACAGCATGAGCATCGATCTGCGCAAATGGGAACCGATGACATGTGTCAACCAAGTCAGCGATCCTGACCACCCGATCCCTCTGTTAGTCGCCTCTTACGACAAGCATAGTCGCCTTTTGTGGCAAGCATGGGTTGCTGAAGACCTATTCTGCCCCGGATCTTCACGGGTCTTATACACTACAGGAAGCAGGTAAAGATATACTAACGGTAGTCAGCCAAGTCACAATGGGATATGGGTATACAAAAACAGGGTAATATAGCGACAATCAACACCATAATAATCCCTATTTCAATAGTTCTTCTTGACGGGTTCTTGATCCTCCATGGAAATGAATATGGTTCACTTTTAGCAATAGTCCAGCAATATCACGGCGGGTGACACCAGGAACGGTTTTAACACCTTGTATTCATGTGGGGAATCGAACTCGGGCCTTTGGTGCGACGAACTAGGCTACCCACCTTACCAGAATATCTGATGACTCTATCAGCAATTACTGGTATGTTGCATGCATGAATGCCCGCACTAGCAGCATCTCCAACGACGACCACTCCCGGCCCTATTCAGAATCGGTAGATGAGGAACAATCAGCAACTTGAACTGCGTCTTGACAAAGTTTTCAAGACGTTCAGATGGTGTACAATGCCTACTGTTCAGTATAAATTTAGTCAAGGTGAGCAACATCATAATGACAGGCAGTCAGAGTCTCGCCATGGTCCATGTTTGTATTCGTAAGGCTGAGGCAACTCTGAATAACCAAGGCCTTATTTTATCCTCAGCTGTATTTTTTAATCACCATCTTCTGACGGCACTATTCTTTGTACATTACACGACATCCCGACTCTTAGAGAATATTTCCATACCTCTTCTGACAAGTTCACATAGAAATAGGGCGTCTGTATTGTGGAGAATACCGTTTAACTACACTTAGACGAAAATCAAACAAACAAAAAAGTCCCTAAAACAAACAAAAACGTGCGAACATATCGTTGTACCTTGAAATTCTAACATCTTCTTCAAATAGCGAATAATAAAACATTCTGATTTATTCACAGCACGAATTATTATTTCAATTCCAATTGAATTTCTTTACTATGTAAGTACGAAACGCAACGAAATAAGGCGACTGACCTTGACCATCCACTCAAACAGATTCCATTTGGGATGGAAGTGAAACAGCCGTAAAAGGTGTATCTATAGCTCGTCTAATGGCACCAGTGTTCACCAGGAATAGGTTTGGTTGGTTGTTGTTTAACGCCGTACTCAGCAGTATTCCAGCAATAAGGCGGCCCTCGGTAAATAATGTTTTCTATTGAAATGTTTTGTAAACCTGTTTATTAAACAAAGTTTTGATAATACACCACATTAAGAAGGTATCTCTTCAGAATAAAGCGACTGGATTTAACGATATCCGTTAGGTACATTTACGGATTAATATGCAAACAAAATAGCTCAGGTAGGTTCTTCAGAAAACGGCGACGCGGTCACATTTAAACGGTCTTTCTGGCGTCTTTTGTTTGTTTTAAATGCCACACTCAGAAATATCCCAGCTATATGATGGCGGTTTGTAAATCATCGAGTCTGGACCTGATAATCCTGTGATCAACAGCATGAGCATCGATCTACGCAGTTGGGATATGATGGCATGTGTCAACCAAGTCAGCGAGCCTGACCACCCGATCCTGTTAGTCGCCTCTCACGACAAGCATGGGTTCAATTATAACCCGAGTCTTCACGGGTTTTGCCAGGAATAAGAAACATGTTCTGTCGTAATAGTATCATCCGCCACTCACACAATTGCATGAAAATGTATTTAATATTTACTGATTTTGTTGACCCTAAAAAAGAAATTGTTAAATTGTACAACTACAAGTATTCTGGATGTACGTGAAGACTGACTGACAGTTTGGTTTTACGCCGCTTTTAGCAATATTCCAGCAACATCACGGCGGGGGGACACCAGAAATGGGCTTCACACATTGTACCCATGTGGGGATTCGAACCCGGGTCTTCGGCGTGACGAGCCAACGCTTTAACCACTAGGATACCCCCACCGCCCTGTACGTGAAGAAAAATCCATCATCCATACTGTGTAGTGGAAGGCGGTATCTGTGTAATTCAGCGTGATCGACAAATGCCTGCCTATGATAAAACTCGGTGACTCTCGTCCACCTCAGAAACATCAGCAAGTTAATGTAAATACAAATCTTCAAGGCAAAAGAAGAACCAGCCTCTATCACCCGTCAAAACACATTCCACAATTCAAAAGGCAAATCAGTGGCAAAAAATGATAATTGTGGATCGATGAAGAAAGCTTTAAAAATGGTTGATACATTGAACACGTTTCCACATTGGACGCATCAATGACCAAAAGGGTGTTTGATGCAATGTCTTGTATGTTTCCGCATTTCTTCCGGTAAACTCTTCACTTGTCTTTGCACGTGTTTGTAACGGATCCCGCCTGTGAAGATCCGGGTTAGAATTGGTCTTCAGCAACCCATGCTTGTGGTAAGAGGCGACTAACGGGACCGGGTGGTAAGGCTCAATGACTTCGTTGAACATGTCATCGTTTCCCAGTTACGTAGATCGATGCTCAAGTTGTTGATCGCTGGACTATCTGTCCATGTGATGCACTATGCAAGTAGGAGCATATTGGATATGATGTTTGAAAAACAAATCCCATGAAATTCTTATTTACACATTACTCATGCTGTTTATAACTGAGCAATGCTCATGCTGTTTATAATTGTCCAGTCAGGAATCGTTTATTTACAGATCGTCGCCAAAGAGCTGGACTAATGCTGAGAGCAGCTTTAAAAACAGATAAATAAAATGGTAACGGGTCCCACCTCTGTGGCAAGGTTCGCTAACACATTCACAACGTTAAACACCTGTCACTATATATCATTGTGATTCATCACACTACGCCGATGATATGTAGTTACAACGGACTCTTCATTTACTTGGTTATTGAACTGGTTTTGTCTCTTATAGTTTAAACACTGATTACACTGTTGTATGAATATACAATATACACATTTGGTTTAAAGACTTCCACTCAACCCCAAAGTAAGCACTTTGTAATAAGTACCATATTGAAGTGATCAAGCAACGACCAGTAAAGGATAATAATTGAACAACAGGGACTGGGTGTTTCATTAATGATATTGAGTTTATAGCAAATTGGATTTTTAGATTTATTATTGGAATTTCAATAGCTGCATTATCTATTAAAAAAAAATATCAATATCAGGATATCAATAAATATATATTAATTTAGTGGTTTCATATTTACATTATTGTGATCGTCTGGACACAACAATGTACATGTGCAACCTCAGAATAGACGACGTTGGCTCAGAAATAGACGTACCCCGCCGTGACTTTTGCTAAAAGCGGCGTTCCCAGTCAAATAGACGTACACACGTTAGTCCCCAGAAGAGTGAGTCACCCAATGGCGTCCAACTCAGTAATCTTTAATATTTACCGACTTCACGTTGATGATCGAGTCTGGCCAGGCAAACCAGATAATGAAACAGTGAGTGAGTGAGCGGTTTTACGCTGCTTTAGCAATATTCCAGCAATATCACGGCTGCGGACACCAGCAATGGGCTTCACACATTGTACCCATGTCGGGAATCGAACCCGGGCCGTTGGCATAACGATCGAACGCTTTAGCCACATGGCTACCCCACCGCACCAGATACTGAAACAACGTGCATGAAATGCAATACAATTTCATATGCATAATGATTTATATTGCAATCTTATTTCGTTTTACTTTATACCTCACAACAAGAAACTGTAAGGGGTGATGTAGCATAAAACAATATTCATTTATTCATTCATTACACTTTACCCATATTGTATCTGAAATGTAAAAAATGTAAAAAAATAAAACAACAAATGACAATATAACCTTCAGTTGTGAACATATAATTCCATGTGTTAGTAACCGTATATTATCAATACATTGCACTATCGAACATGTTTTTAATTAAACATTTCTATGATGACCTATAGCGGAATATTTCAGTAAATATTACAAACAGGTTAACAGTACAGCACAACCTGCTGATCTCATAAATCAGTCATTCATGAACACATCTTTTCATATCAACGCAACCGGAACGATGTTCATACTGTCAGGCCTGTCGCGGTTGACATGTTGTTGGAATTGAAACGTTGTATAAACATGAGGAGATTGGTCATTTTTCGTGTGTCTTTCAACAGGTAGAACAATTAATCTTTCAGATTGAAATTCCTAATGCCTTCAATATGGTGTGTTTGTCTCTTCTCATCTGGATCTCCTGCCTGTCCTATTGTGTTAATGGCACGGGGACGATGGCTATTATTTTGGACAATTTCCTGCAAACATTTGTTTGGGGCGCAGAAGAATTGGCTAAAGCTGTGCAAGAAAATGGTAAGTTTACATCCTTGTGCATCAACAATATCAAATTATATTTTTAAAATGTTTAATTTAAAAATATATTGATAATATGTAAAACATAATATGTAAAACAAACACCAGCTGTATACGATATATTACCAACCATTGTGGTATTTGGTGTCTAATCTAATTCCTTAAAAAAATGCTATTTGGGTAAAGAGGGTGGTAAGGCTCTTGGACTCGAATGGTCTTGGACGTTTCCAAATCATTCATGGCCTAGCCTAGTGCTTCGATATTTCAAAGGATGAAGTCACTGGTTTGTTAAAGGTTAAACTGGATTACTTTAAAGTAAGAATTACTGCAACGTTTACCAACATTTACCCACTACCTATGAAAATAGGTGCCCTGTCTTCATCACACATTGGAGATTTAACTTGGTCCTCTTAAACGGAACCTGGTTATCACGAACTTCCAGTTAACTCAGCCTCAAGTACGTCATACACGGTACTCACAGGAAGTTTTGGTATCGAGGAAAGACAGCTTGGGCATCTAAATCTATGGCAAGGATTTTTAGCCCTGTTTTTAGTCCTGTATGTGTTATTCCAAGCAAGGCGTTTTAGCATTGAATACCCTATATGCATTATGCCAGGCAAGGAGTTTTAGCATTCAATACCCTATATGCATTATGCCAGACAAGGAGTTTAAACATTCAATACCCTATATGTATTATGCCAAGGGTTTTAGCCTTTAATACCCTGTGGGTATTATGCCAAACAAGGAGTTTTAGCATTCAATACCCTATATGCATTATGCCAAACAAGGGGTTTTAGCATTTAATACCCTGTGTGTGTTATGCCAAACAAGGAGTTTTAGCATTCAATACCATATATGTATTATGCCAAACAAGGAGTTTTGGAATTAAATATCCTGTATGTATTATTCCGTACAGGTCACACCCCGAGTGATGTGTCCTCCCACACACCTGGCAAGTACAACGACGACATCAACATGCTGAAAGAGTTGGGGGTAACGTTAAAGCCTTCCCTTTGTTCGCATTAATGATCAAACTGACCAGATTTCTTTTCGAAATTTCGACTTTTTAAATAAGCTGGATATGTACGAGTAATTATTGGAAATTACAAAATATCGAAGTGTCCTGAAACTCGAATTTTCAGCCAATTGAAAAAATAATTTGATTTACGAAACATGTTCAAAATTATATTTATTCCATCATGGTGATACCATTCGGATCTCGTAGACAGGAGCTGAGAATATATTCTGTTTGGCCAGAATAATGATATCATCAACCGCCATGGAGTAGGGGCTTGTTCATTCGCTGGTGTTCAAAAGGCAGTGTGCAATTTTCGTGGGACATTTTAACAAACAAAGCAGCTCGAAAGAGAGTGTATAGATCGAGGGGCTGTTCGTATCTATCATTGTTTTGACTTGTAAAATAGCTATGAGCAGCTTTAAAATCTTCTGCTCCGTGCGTACGTGTTGATACGTACAGTCTTTTTATTTGTTCTGTGAAGTGAGTGTCCAGATCGCAAGACATTATGCCAATGAAATCTATATTTATTTCTAAATGATTTTCGTAAAGTAGCAATAAATATGTTCTATCAAGGATGTCAATCCAAATTAGAAAACAGTTCACGTTATGATCTGTACAAAACGTTGAAAGCTTTATTAAAGCCAGAAAAATATATTTATTAGTTTTAACAAATAGTAACCTAAGAAATATATATATTGAATACAGACTTGGCTTGTCAAAACTAATGATTAATTATGGACGGAATATATCACTTGAAAGAATACAAAGAATTTGTCCATTATGTAACTCTGCTATAGAAGACGAAATACATTTTACCTTTGAATGTCCTTATTATGCAGAAATACGAACTAAATATATACTATCCCAAAAAGAAACACATAGGCCAGAAATCTGTTGCGAAAATGCTGCATTTTCAAAATGTATAACTCGTCCACAAATAGACTTTAGTACATGAAATTATTCATCGGTATAGAAGAAGGAAATGTCTATACAATCAAGTGGATCATGTTAGATAACGGAGACGTTGAGCGCGATGGTGGCGACGTAGCACGGTCCCGACGTCGGGTCTCCTGGCTCTCAGTCCAATCTCTCTCAACCTGTTCCGTACAGCTGCAAGCCGTGATATCGTGCTGTGCTCAGACTCACATTCAGATGCCGGATGGGGCAACAGAAGATGGAGTAATCCCGTCAAGCGTGCATTCTTTCAATGGCGATGTTCCGTGATATCGTCGCAAAGTCAAGACGTAGCGTAGTGATTTGACCTTGAAACTCCTTCAAAACGAATGCCAATTTCCGAAAGTAATCTGGATTTTTATAGCCAGACAGTGCATGCTCTTTGTTGCACAATTTCAACTGGAAGGTGATTTCGGTTGCTTTGTGGCGATGCCTTTTTAATTCTTGTACGAAATCTCATCAAAATCAACATTTTCAGGTAAAGTCGATTTTTTACTTCTGCAATTGTGTAAAATCATGTTATCAACACTTTTGTTACATATTTTGACGATTGTTTGAACACAAAAGGTAATTAATAGATTTAAAAAAATACAAAACGCCTATGCGTTACTTTTTTTTGGATAGTATATATACCAGAACGTTTCTCATCTAAGATGAGTAGAATAGGGTTTGTTTCTATTTTGTCATCGAATGATGCCAATGTAATATTTAAATTATCTCTATTTGTAAAACCTGGAATGGACCTAAGAAATAACTTGTTGAATGGGATTTCAGATTTACCTTACTCTAAAACGTCCTCCTTATTACCACCAATTGTTACTATCATTTCCACTGTATCTTCTAATCGGTATATTCTCAACCAGTGTATTTATGTAAACTTGTATATGGGCTGATGGCCTTTGACACAATAAAACACCTTTGACTTGACTTAAACACTAAAAGTTTTTGTTTGGTTAAACCCGAGGGCAGTCCTCTACACCATTCTTTTCGGAGGCATAATTAATATTTCAAATATACAATCACAGGCCCTTTCAGATTCGGAAAGATGAATTCCCTATTTCTCGATTTGTTCATATGAACAATTGACCAGCTTTTGCATATGTTCATGAACGGTGCCACCGATGGGACAGGATACGCTCACTTGGTGATTCCCGGGTTCGATTCCCCATATGGGTACAATGTGCTAGGCCCATTTCTTGTGTCCCCCAACGTGATATTGCTAGAATATCGCTAAAAGCGGCGTACAACAAAACTCATTCACTCACCCCATAAACATATGCTCAATATGAAGTCGGAATTGTGTAATCGACTCTATCGCGATTTCATAAATATATAGAGTTACCATTTAACGTCTCATCGACTATTTTCTCAGCCTAATTTTAGCGACTGTTATGGATGCCTTTCGGTCGCTTTTAGTTATTCAGAATGGCTGGTATCTTGTCCGACAAAGCTATATGAATGTATAAATAAATACCTCAATTGTTTAAGGTATCAAGGTGTGTTATTGACATGCCAGCATGATAAAAAGTAATGTGGTTGTCTTAACTTCATAAATATGTACGATGTAAATATGAAGAAGATGGGGTGTACGTCCACAGCAGTGTACTTTCAAGTGTTTCATAGCTTAATGCAATCAATATAACTCTATTTTGCGGAAGTATGGTCTCCCAAAGCATGCCTGCCGAGGAAAGCTAATGTTACTGCGTTTAGATAACTGGGGATATAAACATGGGCGTCGTATATGAGGCATTTGCTGTTTACATGGCTTTGGAAATGCATTCTCATGAAAAACAGTTGGCTATTACAAGCATTTCCTTTGACTGTTTCGTGAATGTTCTGTTAACACGTTTTCCAAATTGGAAATCAATTATTGACAGTGTAATACGGGATTCAAAATACTGAAGCATCTCAGTCCAAATTAGAGCGGAGTTATTAAAGTTATAACAAGGTAGATTGTTCTCTTTTCAGTTTTGCATTCTTCAAATGACAATATTATGCACTGACGTAACATAATCGATAGGGGCCTCCTGTCTTTTGGGCGATTTTCTGGCTCCTCGCTTCGACAATATGCCTGAACAGCTGTTATCTCATTTGGTAGGAGGCTGCTCACGAGATCAGGATAACTAAGGAAGGTCGTTATCAACAGGGGCGGTTGGGTAGCATAGTGGTTAAAGCGTTCGCTCGTCACGCCGAAGACCAGGGTTCGATTCCCCACGTGGGTAAAACTGTTAAGCCCGTTTCCAGTGTCCCTGCTGCGCAATTTCTGGAATATTGCTAAAAGCGGTGTAAAACCAAACTCACTCACTCACTTACGTTATCAACAATAGCTGAATCACCTGATTATATGACCTGTAAGTGATATGCTTCTTGGCAGCCATGCGTCCCTTATTTGGCATGCATTCGGATATACCTCAATTCGTTACCTTATTTACATTCATGGAATATGAATTGTTGTTAGTAAAGGAAACAGAAGGTTTTGCTTCTTGAAATCTGAAATATTGTTAAGAGTTTTTGGAAACCGTTTTTTGTCTGAGAATATTACTCAAAACAAAACCATCTATTCCCTTGCACATTTCTAATTTAGGAACGTGAGGTCTTTGTCTGATTTGGTGGAGTCTGTTTCTGTTCTGGCCAAACGTTTGGAAGCTATATCAACAACAGTACTACAGTAGCACATACATTCCAATCAGTCGTAATCCCTTTGTGAAAACTGCAGACTGCACCTGTTAGCGTTTCTATCTAAAGCAACGTGTAGTTAACTGGCTTCCCCAAATCATTGCAGTCCTAATGCCTAATGCCTAATGTATTTTAACTGGCTTGATTACGGTGTTAGAACCAACACCGAAACATCGCTCTCACTGCAATAAAGAAGTTCTTCATCCATGTATTGTTTTCCTGCCCAGACTTCTATAATGCCCTCAAAGACATTACAATACTCTCCATGGTCTCAAGAGGTATACATACACCTTTCATAATTCAGTCTATCACTTCATTATTGCCTGGGCTCAGATTTCTTTAAGGGAATCATCCCTCAACTGGAAAAGAAGATGATAAGGAACAGCAATTAACTGATGACGATTTCGCATTGTAGGTATCCCACTACCGTTTCTCGATCTCCTGGACCCAAGTTCTTCCCAACGGTACTCTCTCTGGAGGAAGAAACCGGGAAGGCATCAATTACTACCACAACCTCATCGCTGAACTGCTCAGGAACGACATCAAACCCATGGTCACCATCTTCGACTGGGACCTCCCACAGGCCTTGGAAGACAAGGGAGGATTCCTGAATGAAGACTTTGTGTACTGGTTTAGGGACTACGCTGACTTATGTTTTAAGGAATTTGGTAACAGTGTGAGTGATATATTTTGGTTATTACATCATGATATTGTATTCCTAATAAATAATATCCGTGAAGATCTGGGTTTGATTTCATGAGGCAGATGTGTGAGAGGACATGGCGCACTTGATGCTGCGAACGGTTCTAACTCTTATTGTGCATGATGTTCGTGAAGATCCGGGTAAGAATTGGTCTTCAGTAACCCATACTTGTCGTGAGAGGCGATCGGGTGGTCAGACTCGCTGACATCGTATCCCAATAACGTAGATCGATGCTCATGAGGTTGATTACTGAAATGTCTTGTACAGACTCGATAATTTATCGACAGCCGTCGTTGCTGAGTGCTGAGTTAAACAAAACAAAATCTGTAAGCATCAGCAATGTCAATCGAATTGTTCTGTATTACACTGACAATATGTTTTGTGTGTTCTACATTAAGGTGCCCTTGTGGATCACCCTGCATCAGCCAGCTGTGAGTGCAATCAACAGCTATGGAGTAGGACAAGTTTCGCCTCCAACTTGGAATCTGACAGAGAGACAGTATGTCTCAGCGCGGAACCTTGTCTTAGCCCACGCTGAAGCGTTCCACCTTTACAATAACACATACAGATCAACACAAGAAGGCGAGTCTATGCTGTACTACATACATGAACATGTTAAAAATAATTTTACGTTTTACTTGATACCGTATTTATCACAACAATAGAACACTGACTCTATTGAAGCCGAAAAGTTTGCAAACCCGTTAAGATCCGGGTTAGAACAGGATCGGGTTGCTGGCTTGGTTGACACCATTTCATCGTATCCCAATTGCGTAGATCGATGTTCATGCTGTTGATCACTGGATTGTCTGGTCTAGATACGATTATTTATAGAACGTCGCCATATAGCTGCAATATTGCACAGAGTAATGTTAAACAAAACAGACAAAGAAAAATATTCATCCAAAAGGAATGACACTGTCACAGTTCGTGTATGTTCCTCATTTAAAGGTAGCCCAGTTGTTAAAGCGTTCGCTTGTCACGCCGAAGACCCGGGTTCGATTCCCGACATGGGTAGAATGTGTCAAGGCTTTTCTGGGGTCCCCCACCGTGATATTACTGGATTATTTCAAAAGTGACTTAAAACTAAACGCCCTCACTGTTCATTTAAGGAAAGGTCGGGATAACTCTCAGCTACATCTGTGAGGAACCCAGAGATCCCCTGGACATCTCTGGTGTAGATGCAGCGGCAAGGTCAACAGAGTTCTATGACGGGATGTTCAGCCACCCTATATACGTGGACGGAGACTGGCCTCCTGTGATGAAGGAAATGGTTGCTCGGAAAAACAAGGAATCGGGCTGGCCTTCGGACAGATTACCTCCCTTTTCTGATTCGGGAAAGAAGCGGATTAAAGGTTCAGAACCAGATCTAGTTCGGAGATTAATACAGCTGTGAAGTGATAAATTAGACTATTAGTCAGTGAATGTAGGCCCCCGGCCCATACACACACATCAACGCACACGCACACGCAACAGGACACTGTGGCCAGTTTGGCGTGGACACACACACACACAGTTGTTGCACGTTTTTGGGTTAGACACACGCACATATTGCACGCACGCACGCACGCAGAATTTCATCCCTGTAACACACAGGTTACACACACACACACTGTTTTGGAACAGTTTGCATAATATATATACATGGCCAGCTTTCTTTCGACATTAACATCCGTTGATGCCAAAAGCATGTTATATTTATCTCGCGTAGGGTATGATATAAATTTAGTAGATATGTACTTCTCACGCAGTGTTTTATACCGAACACAAACCATCAAAAATGGTTTTCATCTTCGATGTAACCTTCATTACACACAGTGCACACCCTTTTATCTACAAGAATATTAACATATCTGCCTCTATTTTGAGTCCATTGGAACTGCAACGAAATTGCACCATGGCCACGCGGACTTTTACAATTGTTAATCGTTTGAGATATAATTCCGTTCCAAAGGTACCTTTAAAGAAAGTATAATTTCTGGTTTAAGAACTGCTGAAAAGAGAGGGGTGCCTGTCCTGTTCAAACGAACATTTTAATCTTGTCATAAGTTCCGCGATAAAAGATTCTTTACTACTTACTGTTTGTGACTCTCATGCAGAGCCAAATCCAAGTCGAAACATAAAATATAAGATCTATATTATTCATGTTATGAACCCAGTTTCGTCTCTTAGACTATGATTATTACAACGTAATGCTATTGTTGTTGCAGTTGTTTCTCGGGGAGGAATTCATTGGACGTTTTAGTTTGAATGAGCATGTTTGCTAGTAAATCACGTTTAGACCATTGTGCAAACTTATAGAGGAATTACATGTCACAATTAAAAGGGTTTTACCGTTGTTACGTTTTTATTTCAGGTACACATAATTTCCTAGGACTTACCCTCTACTGTGAAAGCCTTGTGAGACATGTAAGCAATCTACCACCTTATTCCAAAGATGGAGACCTAAGAACTTCCAGTAGCACATCCAGGTTGGTGCTTCTTCTGACATTTCCATATACCTTTCAATATCCCTTTTATTCGTGATATGCTTTGTAAAAAAGAAGTATGCATTGCAACTTTTCCTAATATATACATAGACAACTTAGTCAAGCACCCCCTGACATATCTCACGATTGAATTAGCTCCCAATCTTAACTCTTTGGAGCATATATGGCACAGAACCTGGTCCAACTGGAGGGTGCTTTACACAAGGAATGGCGTAGACTGACCCTTCAGAGGATCAGGAGGCTGACAAGGGTGTTGTCTGTCATACAGTCACATGGATGTTACACTCGGTATTGACCTTGAATCGTGTAAGACATGCTAAATGACATTTTGAATGTTCACATTCACCAATAAATTCAACATTAAACATTCCAGGGCCATACTTTACAGACATGTTTTTTGTATGAAATCAGTGTATTTGTTTTTTAATGAGCATGTTTATCATCATGAAACATGGATTCCTATCATGGTGTCGTTGTATGAGTCAAAGGGTCATACGGGTCAGAAAAAAACTACCGGGGGTGCTTAATTAAGTTCTTTCTGTATATAAAAAATAGAAATGTCACGACACACTGTCAGTGGTTAGTCAGTATGACAGTTATATCAGAAAATTAGTTCCAACTAAATATCCTTTTTTAAATACCGATTTTAGGTATCTCAGACAATTATCTCAACTAACAACGGTTTAAATGGAATTAGTGTATTATCTCTGTAATCGGTCTTGATGCCCGAAAAACCCGTGAAGATCCGAGTTTATATTGGCCTTCAGCGACTCATGCTTATCGTAAGAGACATCTAACGGGATGGGATGGTCAGGCTCGCTGACTTGGTTGACAATTGCGTTGATCGATGCTCATGCTGTTGATCGCTGGGTTGTCTGGCCCAGACTCGTTTATTTACAGACCGCCGCCACATAGCTAGGATATTACTGAGAGTGGCGTTTAAAACAAACAACAGATGGCCGATAGGCCGTTCAGATGTGATTGTGTCGTCGTGTTCTGAAGGACCTACCTGACCTATTTTGTTTACATATTCATCCGTAAATGAACCTAACGGATATCGCTTAATCCAGTGGCTTTATCCCGCTGAGATATCTTCTTAATATGGTGTATTATCATAACCCGGCTTAATAAAAAAAACAGACGTACAACATTTGAATAGAATACATCATTAATTGATTATTTCGTTGACGCTTTGTATCTAACAACAGTTCAATGTGACAATACAAATACTATCGGTACCACATATAGTAATGTAAACCTTTTCAGAGTGAAATCTATTTCAATGTGGACATACATGTTACAGCTTTGTTTATTAGATCTCGACCCGAATGGATGAAGGTGACGCCCTTTGGGATAACAAGAGTGCTGAGCAGGATCAAGTACAGTTTTAACAATGTGGACGTTTACTTAACAGGAAGTGGTTTATCAGAGCCGAACGTAACGCTCCTAGATGGCAACTTAGTGCAATTTTATCGCATTTTCATCAATGAGGTTCTGAAAGGTGATTAAAGCAAATATTATGTGTGGTGTTGAGTGTGCGAGTGGGCGGGCAATGCGTTGCAGTCAGACATATCTATTTCAGTTGCTTGTACACTGAAGACCTATATCAAGGTAACCAGGGTTTGACAGCATATGAAAACGTCACACCAAACATCAATCAGCTTTGTGAGCGAGAGAATGAATTTAGTTTTACGCCGCTTTTAGCAATATTCAAGCAATATCACGCCAGGAGACACCAGAAATGGTGATTCATATACACATGCTTATGAAGTCGGGACAGCAGAATGGATTCTGAATCTTTCAAAAGAGAACTTCTACGAATATGGAAATATGTTTTATGAGTATAATTTCACTCAAGAGTTCTACTAACATTCATTCTTTCAGCCATCATGAATGTATATTCTAAACATTTTAACCCTCGTCTTCAGCAGCCTTTGCTTGTCGAAAGAGGCGACTAACGAGATCGAGTTATCAGGCTCTGATATATTGATAATCGTATCCAAATTGCATAGATCGATGCTAATGCAGTTGATCACTGAATTGTCTTGTCCAGACTCGATTATTTACTGACCGCTGCCATATAGCTAGAATATAGGTGAGGGTAGCATTAAACAACAACCAACCCAAACCCAAACCCAACCAAACCAGTTTATAGTTTTTAAACAACACGATGTAGACTCGTACGCTCATCTCACACAATTTACAGCTGTAAACCTGGACAACTGCAGTGTGAAAGGTTTCATGGCATGGCCCTTGATGAACGGTCTACAGGACGTCAACTTCTCAGATCCACACTTCCCTAAAGCCTCGTCTATGTGGTACGCTGGACTGGTTCTGGACAATGGGTTCAAGCCTGGGTACTCGAGGCCCGGGGGTAGGGGATCTGCCGTGCAGGGGAAGGGGGAGTTTCACTATGGGACATTCCCCAAGGACTTTCTCTGGAGTATAGCTTCCTCCTCCTTTCAAATTGAAGGCGCTGTCATGGAGGATGGTAAGACTTGACGTTGTTGCTGATATATAGTTTACATTGATCCACTTGACAGTGATGTAAAATATGTGACAGTGATGTTCCTCTTGGAACAATATGGGTCAATGTAAAATATCGCCCACTTATAAATAACAGAAATATAATAATTGTTAGGGAGAGCAGATTCGATGGTCATTGCTTTAAAATATTTATTTTCTTCTTTGAAAGGCTGAATTGAACAAATATAATATTCTCTTCCGCGAACCATTTTTCGTTAAACAAACTTACCTCTTAACCCCAATATCAAATAATCGATCCATCGCAACAGAGTGTATGATTTGACTGAGGGTGTGAGTATCAGTAAACCCTATTGTAGACCCGGGAAGATCCGGGTTAGAATTGATATTCAGTAACCCATGCTTGTCATAAGAGGCGACTAATGGGATCGGGTGGTCAGCTGGAATATTACTGAGTGCAACGTAAAACTAACCTCACTCACTCACTAACCCTACTGTGACAATAATGGGCAATGAGGAATGGGCTGTCCGCAATGAACCCATGACAAAGAAGGTTATGTCAGCATGCTATCCAATTCTCACCTGAAGACAGGATTTATTTATGTAAATGTAAACAACCTTTTTTAAACATTGTCGATCTCAAGATGTTACACAATACGCGAATGTGGACTTTCACATGTCGATGAGTACATACAAGTACAAACGAACAAAGAGAGAACCTTCATTAACAACAAGAGACACTTGACAAACAGAGTAGATAAATGTTTGCCATTTTGTCACAACGGCAACATCGGTGTCAATATAGTGATGCCAAATCAATGTGTGTATAGGTATTAGTGTTGATTTAACACCCTAATTATTGAGTCTTTATTGTTGTCTTTCAACGTCAGGACGAGGAGAGAGCATATGGGACAACTTCCAATTCGTCATACACAACGATTCTGGCAGCGTGGCCTGCGACAGCTACCACAAATACCCCGAGGACGTGAGGCTTCTAAAAAACCTTGGGGTGAGATCACTCTGAAATGACTTATTGTTCGATATACTGGAAGTAAATAAACCAAAAGTTTGTTTTTGTCACTCATTGTCATATTCAGTAAAGTACTCTTATAAGGAGGCGTGAGGTGAGGTGAGGTGAAATTGGGTTTTACGTCGTGATAGAGAATATTTCGCTCATATGACGACGTGCATGCGTGTGTATGTGTATGTGCGGCTGCTTGTACCAGCCCAGACATAAGCTGGTTTTATAGTGCTAGCTCACTGATATACCATGCCGCAGTGAAGCATGAATACCTCTCTCAGACACATTATACTGACTCCGAGCCGACCAGTCCTTGTTGTACCTATTTATGCCGAGCGCCTATTTTAACGTCATTTGGCATGACGCGGTCGGGGATCGAACCCGCGACCTTCCGCTCTCCGGGCGGACGCTCTCACAACTACACCACGGAGGCGGTCTATAAGGAGAGACGGTGGGGAAGCCTAGTTACGAAAACGTTCGCTCGTTCGATTTCCCATATAGGTATAATGCGTGAAGTCCATATACCGCGTGGCGTTGACAAAGAAAATGTTCATGTCAACACATTCTTGGTAACGTTAGGGTTCAAGCGTGTTATTGGGATACCTTCTTTGGCCGTTGTACTGCTGCGCAATATATGGCAATACCCACACACGTCATTATGTACAGTCATTGAGTGGGACATGTTTCGGACACCAGGTGTTTTCATGCTTCGCTATTTGAAACATATTTCAATACACATTCGAGATGCATTAATTCTAAAGGGAAAGGTGTTCATACAAATAATAATGTTATTACAGATGCATTTGATTGTCTTGTTGGTGTTAGGCAAGGTTGTGCTTTAAGCCCCTTTCTGTTTTCTTTTTTCATGAATGAACTAATGTCTTTGATTTACTATGCACATAGTGTATTCAGTAGTATGCACATCTTATTGAAATGTTTAGTTTGCTCTTTACTGACGATGTGCTGACTCTCAACGTCAGTGATTGGTCTACATAAGCAAATGAATACTTTCGAAAACTATTGCAATACATGGGTCGTAAACATAAACTTAAACAAAACCAAAGTATTGTTTTAAAGAAGGATCGAAACTGAAAATGTCAGTAAAGTGGACATGTAAATCAACTACCCTATGACTGCAGTATCTTGACGTATTTATTCACTAAATCTTCAAATTGGTTGCTATCTACAGAAGACATTTCAGTTAAGAAAGCTTTGTAACTACTACTACTATTACTAACTACTAGTAACTGTAGCTATAAGGTTTTGTTTGTAATATTTGACTTTAAAGGTAGTAACTACATTACTATACAGAATTATGTTTATAAACACGATTGTTTGCAAAGGTATTAATGTATGCATGTGAAGGACTTCTTGGTCTGCACCCTTAAACGTTGTATTGTGCGTGGGTAAGCTCCTCCCCATGCCCTCTTCACACAACCCGTTAAAACCTTTTAAATTGATCTATAATCTTGCCTTAACCGCAAGCATCGAGCGTTATACCTTATATTGGGCTTCACATGTAAAAGCAGATTTTAGACACGAACTAACCTATGCGTGGATATGACGTTGGAGGCAAACAGCATCTCTTAAATTTACTTGTAAGAAGAAAAGATTATGTCATAGACGAGTGGCTTGCAAAAATAATTCCCGTACTTTTACTTATTTCTTGTTTGACGAAAACTTCATGTGTGAACCATACATACTTTACATCGATTTTAAGAAAGTACGAATGACCCTGCCCCAGTTTCGTTCAGTTTAATATGATCTAATGTGTTAAAAGGGAATTTGTCATGACACACCTTCAATATTCAAATAGTGGAAATTTAATGCCATTCGACTAGCGTTTTATTATTATAGTTACCTTAGAAGCAAATAAATACCCAGTCCTTTTACGACACAACCTTCAAAAGACAAATGTAACCAGCTATTGTCAACTGTTCGATATATTGATGATTGCATGGTTCGGGCCATTATTAAGTCCACTCCACTGTTGAACAATGGCAATACTTGGCTATGGGCCTCCGGTTTTCAGTTCTGAATAAAGACTAACTACATGAAAAGATAAAGGTATAGCCTTGTACATTTATCGGTTGTTGTACTGTGTACCCAACAAACCTGTAATTAACACATCCTAAGGTATGTATTAATAATCAGTCGCTGGGAGTGGCTATCAGAGGATACTTACAGTATTGACTAAATATAGGATGTTTACATGCGTGTCTCTGGGTAGATAAAACTCGATAGCCGAGTAGAAATATATTAAGTGCGTACATGAATACTTAACCCGGTCCATGTTGATTTCCCTTAGACGGGCTTGGACACTATAAATGACTGAATATTTAATCATAGGTACAAATCCGAATTGGTTCGATGTTGATTTCCCTAAGAAGGCCTTGGACACGAGTAAATGACTGAGGCAATTAATGAGGTATGTGCTCAGGCTTTCCTACTTGGTTCATGCATTTCATCGTATCTTATGGGGCAGGTTGATGCTCAAAATGTCAATAAGCCCTTGTTTAAGTCAAATGCCCAAATGAACTTCCAGTAGAATATAAAGGTTTGTCTTAAGGAACGAATCTATAGATAGTCTCCTTAACATTTGAAAATTATCGAATTTAGATGTTCACAACCAATATATATTAAAACATGTACTGTTAAGTATTTAATGCCAAATTAATGAGGCTGTACAAACAAAATCGATTTACATGATCTTGACAGCAATAATCAACAAACATGTTTATCCAGTAGAATAAATATGGACAGGTAACTACTGACGTAGGGAGGCACGTACTGCACACATCCATAAAACTGGTTGTCCCAAGTGAACAGAAACAATTGACATATTTTCAGAACAGTTTGTACACGTTGAATCCTTCCCTATCGAATCTCCAGTCATCGTTAAGACGTTCTATTGATAATATTGATGTGAAGTCACTAAATGGGGTTCAGTGTTGATGAAAGTTAGCACTGCTTACAACACACTAGACAAATCGAACACGTGCATTGCACTCTTTGTGTCAGAAAGTATTGGAACATACAGTCAAACACAGTTTCGAAGTTTAAGGAACCTCCGTAAAAAGGTTTAGTTATTTTAGTTATTTCATTATTTAGGCACACCAATAAATAAGTAAAAATGGAACGGACCTTTCTTTTGTTTCGAGACAACTGTAAATTCGACACAAAGGTGTTTGAATGTATCTGAATTCGACACAAAGGTGTTTGACTGTATCTGAATTCGACACAAAGGTGTTTGACTGTATCTGAATTCGACACAAAGGTGTTTGACTGTATCTGAATTCGACACAAAGGTGTTTGACTGTATCTGAACTCGACACAAAGGTGTTTGACTGTATCTGAACTCGACACAAAGGTGTTTGACTGTATCTGAACTCGACACAAAGGTGTTTGACTGTATCTGGACTCGACATAAAGGTGTTTGACTGTATCTGAATTCGACACAAAGGTGTTTGACTGTATCTGAACTCGACACAAAGGTGTTTGACTGTATCTGAACTCGACACAAAGGTGTTTGAATTCAGAAGTGACCTTTCAATTTGCTTTTGGTTCTTAAGGTAGCCGATGAAATGCAATGAGCACAATTGCAATATGTTTGTTATAAGGAAACGGTTGGTCTGGTTCCAGTGCTCCATTTTAAACACTGTTACAAATGAACCTTCAGTGTTCTACAGACCCGTGAAGGTCCGGGTTAGAATATTGATCTTCAGTAACCCATGCTTGTCGTAAGAGGCGACTAACGGGATCGGGTGGTCAGGCTCGCTGCCTTGGTTGACACATGTCATCGGTTTCCAATTGCGTAGATCGATGCTCATGCTGTTGATCACTGGATTGTCTGGTATAGTCTCGATTATTTACAAACCGCCGCCATACAGCTGGAATATTGCTGAGTGCGGGTTAAAACTAAGCAAAACTCACTGTTCTTCGTGGCATTGCACGGCCGTTTGAATGAATGAATGAGTGAGTCAGTGAATGAATGAATGAATGAATGAATGAATGAATGAATGAATGAATGAACAATTTTCAGACTCATACGTTCATTGACAATTTCCGACTTTATCATAAATATATGTTGATGAATTTCTGTCAAAATAGGGAATTGCATCGGAATGTTTTAAAAAAATGACTCTACCATTTGAATAGTAATTAATACTACACCATATAACCTGGACGTTCTAAAACAGCAAATTCCTTGTTCAAAATGATTCATTAATAATAAGCTTTACTAAGCTTTAAGAATATTGATTTGACGACAGAACAAACGCGATGCCCTCTATTCTGGAATCGCAATATTGTGAGATAACTCTATCTGATAACAGTGGCGTTACGGTCAGCTACACTAGCACACGTTCCATTTAACAGTTGGAACGTGGTGAAGTCAATATTGATAAGTATAAAAAGCAACTTATCACTGATCACAGATCGATCATATAACTTGAACATTGTCTCAGGTGAAGGTTTATGTATCATATAGAAGTGTTTAAGAAATAATGTCGATAACATCTCTAAGTCAATGTTGTGGAAGCTGTTGTATCAATAAAAACAGAATTGACTCTGGATCTTAACGTCTTTACACCTTTTATCGTACCTCCATCGAAAGAGCTAAGAGGATGAAGATTGTGATTTCTATCTTGAACGACTTCGTAAGTCTGCTAAAACCACACGTGTATACAAAGATTCAATATATACCAGAGAATATATTGAATCTGAAAGTACTATCAATTGTATTAAAACCTGACATTGGGTAAATATTTACGTCAGATCAGGAACAATGAATGAGTTTCTCTCATTCAAGAGGTTCTTGTGGCCTTCATGGCATCGAGGATGCTTACGATGTAGTTCCTCTTCCAGAAGTATATGATACACTTCAAAACATCCATTTTAAAGACCATTCGATGCCATAGACCTTTAGCTTATGTATGGTTATAATTAAGCCTTGTTTCATAACCTATGCATCATATTTATGACACCTTGTCTGATATTTTCATAATTCACATTCTCACGTTTACAGATGTCTCTGTTAATAGTTATGCTTCATCAAGTGATAACATATTTTAGGGATCATGGACTTCACATGTTTTGTTTAAGTATGGCGTCTGGCAACAAACATTTATTGTAGTGCTGTAATGATGCATCGAATAATAGTTGGATTGCAATTGTTGAGTCTCCGATAGCAATTACTCGACGGTAGAAACGAAAAACTGTCGATGCATATATAAGTTTTTACTGTTTACATAATCTGGGTTTCAAGGTTTTTTTTCAGTTATTAAAGAGACTGAAACTACTTCAACTTGTTTATATTTCATATAAACTATACATTCATTTGGGAAATGACTTCAAATGAGACAATTCAAGGAGAAACAAACTATTGCAATAGTATTGCAATAGTTGGTCGCAATAGACTATCGCTATCGCAATAGGATGTTGTTTCCTCTCAGTAGTTACTCTTAGGAAATAGTACTAGCTACAGAAAATCTTTATGTGAACACTTGATGTCGTAATCGATTTTAAGTGGGCCATCCATTGATTGTGGCAGTTATAATGCCTTTTATGCAATATCTGTCGTTGGCCTTATTGGCGTTGACCTTCCATGTGCATTGCAGTCAGATTATCAGTCAAATTCCCGTGTAACATCCCGGGAGTGACACACAGTAAGAACTAAAGTAACACTCTTTAAAAGTATATCTTTCATCGTATTCATTCAGGTCGACCTGTACCGTTTTTCCATCGCTTGGCCAAGAATATTCCCTGATGGCACCAAAGCATCTATAAATCCAGCTGGTATCCAGTACTACCATCGGCTCCTCGACGCTCTCCTTGCTGCAGGCATTGAACCAATGGTCACCTTGTACCACTGGGACCTTCCAAAGGCTCTCCAGGATAAAGGAGGATGGACTAACGCGTCCATTATTGGACATTTCAAAGACTACGCTGACGTGTGCTTTAGAGAATATGGAAATAAGGTGAGCTAAATGCATATGTGTGTCAACTTTCCATTTTGTCGAGCAATATTCCAACAGCCCCAGCCCTTGATGTTTGCACAGCAAAGCTTTGAGGTACAATCGAGTATACTCATTTTTACCAAGATATCGACTAGCGTCATACAACTCTGAAATTGTTCGAATAAGGTGACAACGTTCAAGGCCTCAGTAAAGCTTTCAAAAAGTATTATGGTAGATATGCATATGTTGAGGGAATATTTCAAAATTTCCCTCATTAGTGTCAAAGATTATGTCTGATGCAATTCCCAATTTTGACTTGTTCCACGCGTTCCCAAATGAACAATGAACTAAATAGCTTTTGCATTAGGTTTATGATGTGTGCTCCTGGCGGGGAATGATACGCTCACCCTGTCGCGGGCACATGCTACCATCACTGTTTGAACGGGATTCATAAACATGTTATTGTCATGATATTGTCGATATTGTACTATATTGTAATATGGAAATAAGGTGAGCTATATTTGCTTCTATGCATCACAGATTATTCTGTTTAACGCCGCACTTAGCAATATTCCGCAGTAAAATGCAGCGTTATTTGAACACATATTTGACTTCAATATGGTTTCAAGAAACACTGGAACATGAGGTTAAATAACAGTAAATGGATCAATATTTTTTGTAAGTTGAGTAGGACAATATGTCGGATTCAGACATCAACACAAAAAGTGTTCTGGTGCATAAAAAATAATCGCCTATGGTTGTCTGTTCGCAGGTGAAACTATGGGTGACGTTCAATGAACCTTGGGTGTTCCTTGTAAAAGGTCTAGAGATGGGACTGAATGCACCTGGATACACCAGCGCTTGGGTCGAACCCTTCACTGGAGGACACCATGTTCTACTGGCCCATGCCGATGTCTACCATCTGTACAATGATACTTACAGGCAGACACAGCATGGTAAAAGTCTTATGTATGTAACTAACCTTTGGGGCATTCCAAAGCGATGTAGATACTCTGTGTCAAAAGAAGCCAAACAAGCAACAGGGTTGCCATATGTGGACAATTATTTAGTCTCTGGAGATACATAGTTAAATGAGTGTAATTTGTGACAATATGAATGAAAAGGAAGCCAGGAGAATCTCTTCCTGATGCTGTCCCTAGTACGGTGATCTACCTTCAGTTGTTGGCGATCTATAGCCCATGTTTACATTGTATTGTCCAGAAATAATTTTCTACTTTTAAAGATATATGCTAGCTAGTTTTAACTCAATCTGTGATAATCTGGTGGTTTTACTGTCCTTCGTTGACAGTGTTGTATATATTATGTGTATGTATGATGAATTTAGAACTAGTTTTAGTCACGATATGGCTGAAATATTGCCGATGTGACTTTAAATCTTAACTCACTCACTCACTCAATCACTCTTCCTGATGCTTGTGCTATCCTGATAGGCCATTCTATTAAATTTGTAGGGAAGTACCTATATATACAACAACGTTTATATCTAACACGTTTATGACAAACTGACGGATAGAAGGAACTGCTTTGGTTTGGACATGACCACGAACTATTCGAAGATACCTCATTTTATTTCTTTTTATCCGTAGTTCGTTATGGCCTTGCTAAGTAAACTGTACACATGGGAGAAGCCTCAAACAGTTGGTTTTATCAATGAGTTCGATATAAGCGTGTTCGTTTTAAGGGTAGTTATCTGTAGGTGTGATGATAATGAAGGTGCCATCCTTCTGCTACTGCTGCTGATAAATAACAAATAATACGAGACAAACTTTAAATGCTGCCCTGGCAGGTGAAATAAGCATTTCCTGTAACGTGGATTGGACGGAACCTCTGGACCCAACAAATTCTTCCGACATCGAGGCGTCTGAATGGGCTCTCCAGATGTACCTTGGATGGTTTGCCAATCCTGTTTACGTCAACGGAGACTACCCTGACGTGTTGAAAGCCAGGATAGTCACTACCTGTAAGGGAGAGGGACGCAATGTGTCCGAACTACCAGCATTCACAGAGGCTCAAAAGAAGAGAATCAAAGGTAACTATACTGGCAAAGCCCAAGCATGTACAGCCGTTCATCATATCTGTAGTCAACTATAAGCGTGTTCAGTATATACGATGTTTACTGCGTTCAATGATAATACGACCCGTGAAGATCCGGGTTAGAATATTGATCTTCAATAACCCATGCTTTTCGTAAGAGGCGACTAACCTGACCGGGTGGTCAGGCTCGCTGGCTTGGTTGAGGCATGTCATCGGTTCCCAATTGCGCAGATCGATGCTGTTGATCACTGGTTGTCTGGAGACACGATTATTTACAAACCGCCGCCATATAGTTGGAATATTGCTGAATGCGGCAGTAAAACTAAACTCACTCACTCAATGATCCTGCAGCTGACTCGAACTTTAGATTTGTGGCGCCTTAGACAACTTGAAACCATGAAAAATGGGTCACCGTAAAAATATATGAACACATTTCGAAGAATTTTATAAACCCGTTGAATCTCACCAGTCCGAACCCGGGCATCCCGCTTTGACTTCATGCATGTCACCAATTGCAAATATCGATGTGTATGATGTCAATATTCCATCTGGGCCATACAATCCAGTGATTGAAGCCATACGCAGTGATCTACCCAACTTTAATACGATGAAATGCATCAAGTCAGCAACTCTGGCAACCCAAACACTTCTTATGACATTACTAAAATCAGCTGTGACCTGAGTCTTCACTTCGCATGTGTATGGACGACCAGGATATCCATATGAAAGGAAACATCCGGAGTTTAAGGTCGAAGCATCATCTCAGGACGTCTCAGAAACTCCAAAAACCGCGAGGATCAAGGCAAGATCTTAAGAAACCCATGCTTTACGTAATAGGCGTATACTGGTATCGGTTGTTCAGGGTCGCTGACTTTGTTGTTATCGTACCCCAATTGCGTAGATGGATACTTATGATTGTTTGTTTACTAAAAGCTGAAATATTGCTGTGCGGCGTTAAACAACAAACAAATAAAGAAACAGAGCAGGTATTCCGCTAGTCTCACATTTTTTATCTTTATGTCCTGATGTCTTAGTGCTGTGTACATGTTACAGTCAATCTGTCAAACCAGTCATTTGGTCAAAAGACTGGTCAAAATTTTTAGTCATTTGGTCAAATAACTGGTTTGACAGATTGACTGTAACATATACAAGTGTTGTCCTTCGTTTCCCCAAGATATAATTCTCTGCAGACACCACGGTGTCACAGCGCGGAATCCGTTTCAGTGTATACTACTTACACTTTGCTAAGGATCACAAAAATTCCCAACTTTACTTAAACATAGATTTATAATTTGAAATTGTATCCATTTTAAACTAGATAAATAATGATATGGTAACCCCTGATTTGGCAAACAGCCACTTTATTCTTACCGTATGCACTTGATACATGAGAAACCATAAAAATGGTTTTCATGGCAGAAATCAACCACTTTGCAAATCATGGAACGAGTCATTGACAAGTACACAACACCTGTCAATAGCAGGTATGGGATCCACAAGATGCAGTGACATACTGAAACCTAGGATCCATGCTTGCAATAAGCTTAGATATTTAAACCAAATGAGACCCCGCATCATAGTTTTCTGTTGAATCAATGATTTGATCATTAGCAAAGTGTGAATAGTATATAAACTTGTGTGTGCGTTCGTGCTTGGAAGTGATGTACTAATGGTTTGTTTTTTCAAGGGACTTATGATTTCTTCGGCTTGAACCACTACACCACGCAGTATGTGCGCAAGGGAAACTCCACTTACAAATGTCTGACTACCGGCCAGTGCAGGCCAGACTTCACCCCGGATCTCGTCATCGAACGTCTTCTTGACCCCTCGTGGCCAAGGTCAGTGTAGTTTCTGCGTGTGTTATTCTTAAAGATTCGACGTATGTCTTTTATGTTTGGTTGAAGTATTGTCCAAAGTCACACATTTTATGACAACTGATCTGACCAACTTGGCCGCATGTCGATATTTCTCGATTATTATATCTTCATTCTATTGAAATTAATACCTCAGCGACCACAGCTCCAGTGTGATTCTGGTTCAGCATATAATCAGTCCAATCAAATATAGAGGACATTATATTTGCAAATACAGCCAGGGGGTTAATCATTTTGGAATTTGGATGTGCTACACGAGATACAGGTTTACCTGCAGGAGAGCTCAACCGTAAGCCCGATTAAGATTCTTTGTGTGTTCAAGCATTAGCTCGTCCAACATTTGGCACTATCATGCAATAGCATAGCACTACGTGGAGTCATCCAAAAGATCATATCCAGGGGCCCGTTCCTCAAAGCTATCGTAGCGCTACGACAGTCGTATGTTAAAGTATGGGAGTTACGATCATCTTAGCGCTACGATCGCTTTGAGGAACGAGACCCTGTTCTTGTCAGTTTGCTGACGGGTTTACCCCTTGGTCATTTGGACAAGACATCAGGCTTTGAATCATATAACGTCCGTGGTTCGTATCCAAATGCGGAATCCGTAATGACCCTAATACTGGCGAAGAACACGAGGCAGAGCACGTTCATATCAACTCAGAAAACGTCTCAATACCCTGATATGCGGCAGAGGACGTGCATTCCGTTGACGGTGGTGTATGTGGCAGGATGTGGAGTCATCCTAACAATTGCTGACGGGGTTAATCTCTTTGGTCACGTGGACAAGGCTGAATACCAGACGATAGGACAAGGCGTCTGACTTCGGATCAAAAGGTCCGTGTTTCCCAGCGAGGGTGTCAGCATGCAATTCCTGCTGCAATAACTCAAGACAAAGGATCACACATTTTACGAACTCTAGCCTTGGGTGTGGCGAGCAAACACTTTTACGTTAGAGTATCCCGCTGTCATTGATGGTTTAATTTCATGAGACAATTGGTATACCACACAGTGATGCTGCGAACTTTGGCACTATTCAGTATACTCTGATTGTTCAAGGGATGGTTTTCAGCAACTCATGCTTGTCGTAAAAGGCAGCTAACGGGATTGGGTGGTCAAACCCGCTAATTTGGTTGACAGATGTCATCGTATCCTAAGTGCGTAGAACGATGTTCATGCTGTTGACCACTGAATGATCTAGTCCAGAGTCGAATATTTACAGACGTATAGCAGGAATATTGCCGTCAAACAACAACCATATAAGCTTATTGTTCATGACAGGAGTGGTTCCCCCTGGTTGCTTGTAGTTCCCTGGGGGATGAGGAAGACGCTCAACTGGGTGAGGAACACCTACGGCAACATCCCCATCTACCTGAATGAGAACGGACTGTCCGACAACAACGGTACTCTGGATGACCAACACAGGATCGACTTTTTTCGAGCTTACATAAATGAAGTTCTGAAAGGTAGGTAAGGGTCGGTGATGTACCCTAACAGTTTAAGGTGAGTTGAGTTGAGTTGAGTTGAGTTGAGTTGAGTTGAGGTGAGTTGAGGTGAGGTGAGGTGAAGTGAGGTGAGGTGAGGTGAGGTGAAATACGGTTTAATGTCGTGCTTGAGAATATTTCGCTCATATGACGACGTGCATGCGTGTGTATGTGTATGTGTGGCTGCTTGTACTAGCCCAGACTGAAGCTGGTTTTATAGTGCTAGCCCACTGAGATACCATGCCGCAGTGAAGCATGAATACCGCACTCAGACACATTATACTGACTCCGAGCCGACCAGTCCTTGTTGTACCCATTAATGCCGAGCGCCAGACAGGGACCAACAAGTACCATATTTTAACGTCTTTTGGTTTGACGCGGTCTGGGATCGAACACGCGACCTTCCGCTCTCTGGGCGGACGCTCTAACCACTACACCACGGAGGCGGTCTAACAGTTTAAGCATTCGACAATCACGCATGTGGCTTTAGGTTCGATTCCCCTCACGGGTCCAATGTTTGAAGTCAATCTCTGTCCACTGTATCATATCGATGAACATTGTTATAGTGGCGTAAAATAAAACTGTCACAGTTAACCATCGGACATGTTGCACTGAACCATAGTAAGCTGTGTGCGTCTGCACTATTTATCATTCTGCCGTTGCATAGTTTGTGTCTTACGAAAAGGTCAAAGGATAGGATAAGCATGATGAAAGGGAAGAAGGTTTTGAAAACATTGTTTTGAAATTTAAGAGATGTTTTCAATTTTAATTTGAACTACATATTTTTCATTTCATATCTTCCATTCTTAAACTCACCACTTGGCTTAAGGGTCTGTTTGAAGTCTCTCCATGAAACACCATACCTTTCTCACAGCGATAAATGCTTAATCATCAAAATATTTGCTGTTTTCGAAAAAGAAAGACTTTATACTGCGCAATCCTTCCACCCAAAATACCTTTATAAAATGCGTACGTAATGATAAAATATGTGCCATTAATATACTTAGATGTGCCCTTGAACTTGAACAAAGCATATTTGCAGTTTTCGAAAACTAATAAGTTTATACTGTGCAAGCCTTTGATCCAAAACACCTCAATGAAATGAGTATGTAAAGATAAATATGTGCCATAAATTTAGTCAGATGAGCTCTTCAACTTGAACAAAACATTTTTTTATGAATATACTCTTATCAGAAGAAGGCTGAACATGCACGGTACTGTGCTGTCCGATATCGTGATATCACACTTCCACAAAGATCTTTTACCCTTCCTTGTCCGTTCATTTTCTGTCCACAGCTATTGATTTTGACAAAGTGAATGTTAAAAGCTATACCGCGTGGTCGTTGATGGATAACTTTGAGTGGGAAGGTGGATACTATGAAAGATTCGGAGTTCATCATGTGGACTTTGACAGCACCGACAGGACGAGGACCCCGAGATCGTCGGCGGCCTTCCTGCGACACGTCTGTATAAAATGTCACCTGAAAACGACCTGGTCACCAGAATACTTAAGTCTTTTTTCGTTATTATGAAACAAATAATAACTTATTAAAATTTGACAATAAATACTTCATATCAAAACCGGATTTTGTACACCAAAACGATAAAAGTATTTGCCTTTTGGAAACTCGATTGTTTATAGACCACCATTTTGACCGTCTTTTAGATATGGAACGCTAATGACCCGAGTAAGATTTTGCATGTACAATGCCTAAAGTCTTTCAGATACGTTTCTTGCATATTACTAAAACCGGATGAAAAACAGACCCATCTAAATAGCCGTCGTATTGTTTCTTTTCAGGTTCACAATAACAAAAATGATTTCAGTGAAAGTGTTTCTGTTTTAAAGGTCTTCAAGGACAATGGCTTCAAACCCGGCGCCTTAACAGATCCCAGTCGGCAGCCTCTCCCTTTCGAGAATGAATTGTTTTTTGGAGTATTCCCAGAATGCTTTGCGTGGGGGGCTTCCTCTTCCGCCTCCCATATAGAAGGGCTGCTGGACAAAGAAGGTAACACCATCAGGGAGAAGTCTTTTGCGTGACACAATGTCACACTATTAACAGATTCGCTGATAGAACAATCATCGTTGTTATCACCTTTGACAATGTTATGAAATGATCTCGTTCTCTTACAATACAATTGTTGCCATTATGCAACTTTGGCCAAAAATAAAAAAAAGCGTTGTTCAGCTGAAGTAGGAATGTGAAGTGTAATTTTGGGCGCATAGGAATTCTGCAAAGCTCCAATCGGACCCAAGCCGTGTCACCCGAGCCAGTAGGCGAGGGATGACACTGCTACAGAACGGCGTACATCAGACCGTATTACCCGAGGGAGAAGCATACAACGTATTTATCTTACCGCCATGTTAAATGTACAAAACATCATTTTATTTTATGTTAAATATCGCGACCGACTATATGACATGTAAACAAAATGGCGTCTGCCTCTCGGCTGGATTTTTAAAATCAATGAAACATATTCTGAAAGCTTAAAACTGCTATAAAAATGGTTAATTATGTTTAAGCTGAGTGTGCAAACCACTCAATGTATAAAATAGCTTAAATAAAGCAGTGAAAGTCGGAAAAATTAATCTGTACAAAGTGAACACAAAAGCAGCTGATCGAACGGTTTTCGAACTCCGGGCACAGCATGCGTCATATAATGACGTCATACGATTGTTAGCGCTTCAGCTTCTCGGCGGAGAGCTTGGCGGTTACCGTGGCAGCGGGTAATATCTTTCCAGTTGACACCCTCGGAAACTTGTTAAAGCGTCATTAACCAAATTAACCAATTAAAATGTTTTACATGAAGGTAAGATAATGTTAGTTGTAAGCGCCTACCACATCGATGCACGTTTAGGTTCGACTAGGTCGAATAGTTGTTGTCCTAAACAAACGCACACATGATACTGTTAACAGGAAAGGGGACGAATAGCTGGGCCAGCTTGACAGAGACACCTGCCGGTGGCGTCATGCCCTTGAAAACGAACACCGATATTGTTGCTGCTCTCAAAGATCTTGGGGTAAGATTTCAGAAAATAAATCGATACTGTGAACACATAAGCTTTTACGTTGCTACCTTTTAAATTACTTTCTGAATCAGGCAATTCAGAGGGCACACCCATTTAACAATTAATAACATCCACGATCGATCAGAAGACGTTTGATAATAAATGTTGGATACGAATGCTTGTGTACCTAGTTTTTCACCTTGTTATTTTTGTCATTGTAACCTGATGGGTCGTTTTAATCTTTGAATGTGTGTTCAGACTTTAATCCATATATCCCACATAACACATTGTGTTGTTACATAAGGAATCCAGTATTCACAATAATGTCTTTATCGATAATATTGAATACAGTATACGTAACGAGACAAACCTTCCTTCCGATACAGCGTGGATAAACTATAGCCTTATGGCGTTAAGGTGTACACAGAGCAAAAACTGTATTTATTACACAGATGTTTCGCTAAAAGATCAAAGGCGCCGACAGTACTTTATTGATTTAAACATATTTTATTCACAAATGTGAAAGGGATTGGGGACAAGTTATCCAACTTAAAATACCCGCTCCCTAATATTTACATACATACAATTTCAATTATATACATATTAGGAAAGAATACAGAGAAGGGATAGGAAAGTAAAAGAGAGAAGAGAGGAAGGGACACGACTTATGTGATCACTCAAAACGTTTTAATTGATGAATAAAAGTTTGCACACATTTGAAAATGCATTCATTCTGTTGAATAGTCAGGTCAGGACTCCCAAGTAACATCGGATGATAAAGTACACTTTTTGCATGACGTTACACTGTATTGACATCACTACGCCATTCTCGTTTGCCCCCTCGTTATCAAACGCAGCCTTGGTAACCGGCGTCATTGTATTTAAGAAATACAGTTAGCTCTACCATAATGTAAAGTGTAATAAAGCACACTTTCGCCCTAAACTATTATAGCGTCCTCGCGCTTTAACGTTATAATAGGCGGGTACGTCCGATTATGAGGGGGCAGACTAGAATGACGCAGTGACGTCAATACATTGTGACGGTTTGTGATTGTAAGGTGTACATTATCGTCTGATAAAGTAACTGTCGGTGCCTTTGATCTTTCACCGAAGCATCTTAGAATACACCATACATGGGGGTAGAGCGAACTTTATTTCTTAATTGGGGTAGAGCTAGCTGTATACTTTAAGTATATGATGGGACATAATACAAAGAGACTGACCTTCCACAACAACTAACAGTGCAACATGTTAACCAAAAAAACATTCAAGTATGCATGCACTTACGATACGGACATAAACCATTAATGCTCATATTTTCTGATGCTTTTATTCACTGTTTGCTCATTATACTACGAGAGAGATATGTCATAAATGTTCGAACTTTAAGTTTACTGTTTCATATATGGAAATGTGTTTTTAATATAGATAATATTTATCGCATTGCATGTATGGATTTCTGTATTGATATCGTTGTTGATTAACGGTCAAGCACATAAAATATATTTCATTTTCTGCATGGCTTATGTTTAATGTGAAACATGAATATTTGCCAAGTCTTTCTCTCTAGGAATATTTTCCCCACCTTATTTTTTAAACATTCAAATTCTGGCGTAAGCATCTTAACGTAATAAGACCTTCTTGAAATGAAGATTCGCTATGTGTTTCAGGTACGTATCCGATTCTAATTCAGGTTTAGTTGATGGTATAACTCTAGTTTAATGTAGCCATATCATCAGATGAACCTATGTAAGTGAGTGAGTTAAGATAGCTTAGGCATTAGTTGGGCCATACAGTGACGACAACAAGTATATCTAACACAAAAGCATTTTCAAAGTTATAGTTAAAAGCAAAATTGTCAGGCATTTTAATCTTAATATTAAAGTATTATTCACAGTTTCAAACACAGTCTATAAGCCATCGGTGCCAACAGCTGGGCCACCTCGAATGCAATATGAGTTAAATGAAACCTCACTGTGTCGCACTCTCTGCTGCGTCGAACTCACGGACATCTCAAAGTAACAAAACTTTCCATTTAGTCATCCTTTTGCGGTTGTGTCGAACTTCGGATAACTCCCTTCAACATCGACACAGCAGTGTTTGCATTAACTATTGTAAACCCAAAGTCACTGTGTTCTTTAATCTGATTGGTTGAAAAACATGATCGAATGGTATTCGATTCCCGGAAATTGCAAGACTATTCACTGCGTATTGACGCGTACAAATATCGCACACTATTGTATTGTTGCGTCGTCATCAGTGGTGACATCATTCAAAGCATATTGTGACGTAAAGTCGGAATGACGTCACAAAAGAGCAGTTCCAAATGCTACCATGGGAACCAGCTGAAACGGCCAGCTGATTACACATCACTGCTATACCCGTACTCGATGTCAATGAGTGTAGACAATAAATGTCATGTGGCCTTTTGGTTTACTTTTGTGTTTACAATGTCGATAACATCATGTGTTGGCCAATTTCCGGGTGTTACTGAGTATTTGAAGCACGGGAATATTTCATTTGAAACCTCCGGCTAACGCCGTGGGTTCCAAATTTATTCCCATGCTTCATCAAATACTCAATAACACCTGGAAATTGGCCATCACATGATGTTTATCTCCTAATTCCAGTTACACTAAATAATTATAAACGTTTTCCTGTTATTATCAGCTAAAGACGTATTACTTTTCATTCTCGTGGTCCCGAATCGTACCGCAAGGAACGTCAGAAGAAGCAAACCAAGATGGTATCAACTATTACAACGAGCTGCTGTTGGCTCTGGCTGATGCTCAAATTGAACCAATCGTGTCCCTACACCAGTGGGAAACCCCAGCCGCTATTACAGACGGCTGGCTGGATGACAAAATAGTGGAAGCCTTCGGGAACTACTCCAGAATATGCTTTCAGAACTTCGGAGATAAGGTACGAAATCAAAATGCCCCTTTAAAGTGGTCTCATGCAACTTGGGATTACACTTTCTCACTAAAGCACCCACTTTTCAGAGTTATGCATCTAACGGAAGCGCACAAAGTCTTCCTCCAAGATGGACGACATCTACCAACTGGAAAATCTAGGTCATCTACTTTGTGAACTCTTCTGTAAATTGGTACGGCTGCCATGGTCAAATTGCCAAAGTTACAAATTCATTTTGCAATTTAAAAGTGATCAAATGTAACAATTGTAACATTTTGGGTTAGTAGGGGTTAGTCGCAGTGGCAGAGTCGGGGAGTGTATCTTGCCCCTTCTGTTTCAGGCGTCATAACCACATGCAGAGGCACGGCATGTTCACTTGAAATAAAGAAAACCAGGGTAGTCATGCAATTAGTCAAATAAGGAAATGCATCGTACATGATTTTTTGTGCTGATGCAAAGTTAGAAATGTCACTTGTCCCTTCAAAAACGCAAAATGTATCGTCGTTTATTGTGGTGGTTTGTTGCAGGTCAAACTGTGGATAACCCACAATGAACCAAATACTCGAGCACTGTATGAATATGAGTTAGGAAAATATGCCACAGGGGTCAAAGGTCAAGGGTATCGAGCCGCTCACTACATGATCAAAGCACATGCTGCAGCCTACAGGATTTATCAAAAGGATTTTAAGAAGATCCAAAATGGTAACTTACAACGCATTTTCTACATATGGACACCCTTAATTTAGCAGTGCTTCCTAGACATATCCCAGAAATTTATGGTACCAGTCGGATCGTGTATCTGTTTCAGCAGATCCTGGCACGACCCGTGGACACAATTCTACTCATCCTATGATATCATATGGCGTTTAAACGTTAAAAACACAAAGACAGATGCACGTTTTGTCCTTTTTTACCAAACTATTTTGTTTCCTGTGACAGAAAGGGTTTCTTTATGTGCAATGAAGCTCTGATAAACTACAACCAACTTTAGGACGATTAACATTTTGACAGTCTGTAAACATAAATAAATTAACATTAATAAACCTGGATATTTTACGATTGCGACGAGAAAGGTATCTTTAGGCATTTTACCATAAATCTTCTTCTTCTTCTTCTACTGACAGAGGCCTAATAGTCCCACTAAGCTCCCTCCAAATGTGCTCGGTATAATTGAAGAATGGTAAACGTTATCAAATGATCCATTAATGGCTTAAATGAGGGTGTTGCATCATGACAGGAAAAGTAGGACTTGCGGTGTATCATTCGTGGGCTCTGCCGAAGACAGAAAGGGATCCTGGTGACTGGGCCGCTCAAGACCGGAAGTTGGCCTTCGACTCTGATTGGTTCGTTGACCCAGTGCTGTTGGACGGGGATTACCCTGACGTCATGAAGAGAGAGGTGTCCCTCAGAAGTAGGGAACAGAATCTGACCCAATCCCGTCTCCCGGTGTTTACAGACGTGGAGCGGAACATGATCAGAGGTGAGGAGGCATACAGGGAGAATAATTAAAAACAACAGAGTGAATACAATATCTGAACAGTATGCCGAGGGAGGTTTCTCCATTAGAGATGTAACGACCTGTGAAGTTCCGGGTTAGAATTGGTCTTCAGTAACCCATGCTTGTCGTAAGAGGCGACTAACGGGATCGGGTGGTCAGGCTCGCTGACATAGTTGACAGTAACTTGACACATGTCATCGTATCCCAATTGCGCAGATCGATGCTCATGATGTTGATCACTGGATTGCCTGGTCCAGACACGATTATTTACAGACCGCCGGCATATAGCTGGAATATTGCTGAATTAACAACAAACAAAGCAACTGCTACTCAAACAGTTTTCATAAAAAGAGTAAGTCAGCCAAGTCAGTGATCCTGAAAACCCGAACACGTTTGAATTTGATCATAAATCAATTCAAAATAGTATGTTAAGCGGCGAGTGGCGGCTGTAAGAGTCACCACCATCCATTCGTCACGTCCGCTCGTCACGCCGAAGACCCGGGTTCGAATCCCCACATGGGTACAATGTTTGAAGCCCATTTCTGGTGTCCCCCGCCGTGATGTTGCTGGAATGTTGCTGAAAGCGGCGTAAAACCATACTCACTCACTCACTCAGTGTTGTATTCGGCAAGCTTACGCGATATTGTTTTTCGTGATTTAACACTGACAGAGTTGAGTTGATTGATTGATTGTTCTTTTATGCCACACTTAGCAATATTCAAGCTGTGTGACGGTGGCGTGTAACTAATTGGGTCTGGACCAGACAATCAACAGGATATACGATGAGTGAGTGAGTGAGTTATTATTTAACGTCACATCGGCAATATTTCAGCCATATCGTGACGAGAACATATGTGACATTGAAATGGAATAGATGGATATACGATGACATGTGCTAACCAAGTTAGCGAGCCTGACCACCCCGTCGCCTTTTACGACAAGCGTGGGTTGCTGAAGAACAGTTCCATTTGATTGTCACAGCTTTTTGTCTTTCACGTCCATTTAAAGTGATTATGTGAACAATCGAGTTGGACTATACCCTGGCGCTGCCTCTATAAAATTACCTTTTTTTTCATTGTAACATAAGGGTCGACCGACTTCCTTGGCATCAACTACTACACCACCTACCTCGTGGAGGAGCGACGTCACAACGACGTAAACGACATGCCTTCTATCGTCGACGACAGGGCCGTCATGGAGTCGGTAAAAACTTCAACGGGAAGGTGGAGCTCCAGTATTAATTTTAAGAGAAATCATATATACTATTTGATAACCTAGTTTTTTCGTATTACATCTAAAGATCCAGATGGTTTTAAGAATTTAATGTGAAAATTCCGTTTTTCGAAGATTTAGAAAGTATACAGATATTACAGGCACAGAAAATGACGAAGTGTTCGCTTCTCACGGCGACGACCCGGGTTCTGTTCCTCAACTGGGGACAATATGTGAAGCCCATTTCTATCCTACGCCGGGATATGACTGGAATACTGCTAAAAGAGGCGTAAACCTTTACGCACTCACCCTTTTTAATAGAAACTTAACCAAAGAGCATACCATGGGTGAGTGAGTGAGTGTGGTTTATCACTATTACCGCAATATGACGGCGGGGGACGCCACATTGTACCCATGTGAGGAATCGAACCCGGGTATTCGCGGTGACGAGCGAACGCTTTAACCCCTAGGCCACACACACACACACACACACACACACACACACACACTGAACGAGCAGCTATGGTAATCGACTGCAGCAATACTAAGTCAATGTGACGGTTATACTCTAGACATCAGCGGAAATCATTTTCAGTTTCGAATCCAGGCATTCTGTGTAACAAGAAAACCACCAATACGCGACACAGCGGATTATATGTAGGTATAACTATAACTGTATAATCACATTTCAGCACAAACTCTCCATGGCTTCACGTGTATCCCAAGGGACTCAGGATGGTGCTAAGACGGTTCAGACAGCGGTATGGTAACATCCCTGTATACGTTACCGGTAACGGCGTGGGGACAAGCCAGGGACAATTCAAGATACGGACAGAGTGCAGTACATCAAGTCCCACACTAATGAAGTATTGAAAGGTAACTGCGGTGTGAGTGAGTGAGTGAGTGAGCATGGTTTTACGCCACTTTTAGCAATATTCCAGCAATATCACAGCGGCGGAACACCAGAAATGGGCTTCACACATTTTACCCAAGTGGGGAATCAAACCCTGGAGGCTACCTCACCTCCCCGGTAATTGTGAAACACGAGAGTTATTAGACAGGTTCTTATACACCTCTGAATAAGAAACCCACCTAGTTACCATCAAAATCATTTCTTTACAAAATAGGATTGATAGAGGATAACCTTTGTACATTTTGCCAATCAGAAAGTGAAACACTAGAACATTTATTTTTTCCTGTCGAAAAGTTCAAACTATGATAAATGAGTTCAAATTTTGGTATGAAAGTAGAACCAATTCAAAATAAGACTTAAATATGAATAATTACCTTCTTGGCGATTCAAAGTTGAGTATCCTTGAAAACCACCTTTTTATAAAAACCAAGCGTTATATTCAAAATTGTCATTACAATAAGACTATTCCCATATTTACCCAATTATTACCCCTAATAAAATATAATCACAACATAGAGAAATTCATTTCTGGAGACAAGACCAAATTTGCAGAAAAAAGGGCCCCTATACTTATATAGACGGACGCAAACCAATGCTTGATAATACCACCCTTTCTCTCCTCTATTCTCTTACTTTCCTACATCCCTATACCTCATTCTTTGTACTTTATTCATACACCCATCAATCATGTCGTCTCTCACTTATCCTGCAGCTTGAATATATGTGTTGTGTGTATTATCCAACTGTATGAATATTGTATCACTTGCTATCTCAATAAAAAAAAAAAAAAATAAAAAGAAAGAAACCCACCTGGTATAACTGGTATATGTGAGATCGTATGCCAGCTCCTCGGTGATGATGTTTATGACGGACTACTTTATGGTGGTAATTTTCTGGATAAGTTAGTCGTGATTCGGAAGAACACTTACATCGCAGTCAAAACTTGTTTTCCGAGTGTTAATTAATATCCTCCTATTATCTACTTTTCATCATCATATTCGTCTTGACAATGACGAGAAAATTGTTTCGTGGAAGGTCACACTTTGTATAGATTGTAAGCAGCCTTCCGGGTGACATCACAGATGACTGTTTTGTTATGTATGAATACGTCGCAGTGATCATGAGAATGACAAAACAGGGCGATTCCACATCACACCGGTACGATTATAGTGCTTAAGAAACATATTACTACACTCGTAACAGTCAGATACTATTCTCGTTCATTCGCAATCCATTGTAATCTCTCTCTCTCTCTCTCTCTCTCTCTCTCTCTCTCTCTCTCTCTCTCTCTCTCTCTCTCTCTCTCTCTCTCTCTCACTCACTCACTCACTCACTCACCTCATGGCCACACGAAACCTGCCTGTACACAAAAGCGGCCGTTTAGTCACAGGACTATATGAAGTGGGAATTAGGGTGACACGTACGTGTTACTGTCAGATCATGAAATAACACTACTCCATTAATGATGAGCTTTTCATTGGCTGAAGGGTTGAGGTGACGACATAAAAAGCTAATAGGCTAACACTAAATATTTAACAGCATTAGAAGGCTGTGACAGGACTTGAATATAAATATGAGCTATTCAAGAATGCAAGATTCGTTCTGATTATAATTGTTGGTTTGTGAGCACCAAACCCATGTTCGTTGGAATCGGTAAAATTGACCTGCCTTCCCCAACGTTAAGCTGAAACAATGTGACGTAACCCAAACACTGTTCTAAGCGTTGTCAAACACAACTCATTTTCTCAAGTGGGTCATGCTGTTACCCTATAACAGCTGCATACTGAAATATTGTTCCAAACCCCTGGTACCCGTGAGATAGGATTTAGAATATGTTTTCAGTAACCTATGCTTGTCATAAGAGGCGACTAACAGGATCGGGTGGTCAGACTCGCTGTCATAGTATCCCAATTGCGTAGATCGATGCCCATGTTGTTGATCACTGGATTGTCTGGTCGAGACTCGATTATGCACAGACCGCCGCCATTTAGCTGGAATGTTGCTGAGTGCGGCGTTAAACAACAAATTATATGAATGGTGAGGTGAAATTGGGTTTAACGTCGTGCTTGAGAATATTTCGCTAATATGACGACGTGCATGTGTGTGTATGTGTATGTGCGGCTGCTTGTACTAGCCCAGACTGAAGCTGGTTTTATAGTGCTAGCCAAATGATATACCATGCCGCAGTGAAGCATGAATACCCCACTCAGACATATTTTACTGACTCCGAGCCGACCAGTCCATGTTGTACCCATTAATGCCGAGCGCCAGGCAGGGACCAACAAGTACCATATTTTAACGTCTTTTGGTATGACGCGGTCGGGGATCGAACCCGCGACCTTCCGCTCTCTGGGCTGACGCTCTAACCACTACACCACGGAGACGGTCCTTATATGAATGGGTGATGGTGACTCAAGTTATAATCATGTGCTACTTTTACGGTCGCAACCTCCACTCATCGCTGAATATCCTATTTAGAATTGATCAAACTCAAACGTGATCGGGTTTTCAGATTCGCTGACTTGGCTGATGCTGATATAGCTGGAATATTACTGTGTGGCGTAAAACTAAACTCACTCACCAAACCTCTGGCCTCATTCCGCAAATTGATCGTAACGCTTAGACAGTCGTAAGTGTGTGCTGAAGTAAAGGAACTATGACCATCTAAGCACAAATATCGCCTTGTTGAACACCATTTTAGTTACATTCCACCGCGTGAGCAGCAAATACAAGAAAGTAACGCTGAGACGTGATGCCAAGGGTCATTATCTCGATTCTGGAATCGTGAACAGCATATTGATGCCAGAGTTGAAAATCTATAAAGCTAATAGCAATCTCCCGGACTGCTTCTATTTCCTACCCACCTACTTATCGGTCACCTTTACATATTTCAGCTATACTTCTCGATGACGTTGACGTCCGTGGCTACACGGCCTACTCCCTCATCGACAGCTTCGAGTGGAACGAGAGCTATAGCAATGCTTTCGGTCTGTATTACGTCAACCACACTGATTCAAAGCAGCGTTTGCATCCAAAAAGGTCGTCAATATATTACAGTAGTCTTATTCGAGACAATGGCTTCTTGCATCTGAAGCACAATTCTACAGCCTAGGTCTTCCAGAACGAATGTTCATCATCGATATTATCTTAATTGATGACTTTTAAAGGATTTTGGAGTGTCACTGTTCTCCCTTTTAAGAGTATGTGTGTCATTAATTTTCTGACTGATGTATTCATACATGTACATCACCAATACACGCTGGATATAAGGCAAGATTCGTTTAATGACAGCTTGTTTATCTAACGCCGCACTCAGAAAGTTTCAAGCTGAGACATACAATAGAGTCTTGGCCAGATTGACATCATGAACATAAACCTGGGCAATTGGGAAATGGTGACTTGTATCAACATAGGAAGCGAGACCGACAACCCGATCCCATTAGACGCCTCTCACGACAAGCATGGGTTGGTGAAGGCCATTTCTAACCGGGATCTTCAAGGGTCGTTGAGGTTTTGATATAGCATAAAATATCCAAATCCTCACTGGCGCCTATACGAAAAGAGTGGTTCCAATAAGGCGAAATTAGATACTCACTCTCGATCTCTCAAACGCATGTTTAACACTGCAGAAAAAAGTATTCAACATCAGGCTATGATGATACGCTTTTAATTTGAATCTATATGTATTCACAGGATGTTATGACTGAAGCAACGATAAAGTTAGATGACAAAATATTCGTATCGCTTCGGGGTTTCAATTTAGGGGAACTGGAAACATTCTTAACTAAATCAGTGATGTGTGGGGACATAAGAAAAAAAGATATATTTGGTTCCGAACATACTGAAAATACTTTGTGATAGATTTCACAAAAACAAATTGCTCGCAGGAAGTATTGGATAGTAAGAAAAATGTGTTGTGAAAATGGTGTTTGGCTCGTCCTTTCGTAGAAACAATTTGTATCCTTTGCAGCAGTGACTGAAAAATATCCTACATCATGTGGATATTCGAGCTGACTTTCCAGTCTAAAAGAGAAACAAAATTCACCTCGTCCAACATTCCCCGATTGAAAGGTGTATTTGAATCGAAAATAGGTTTCGGAACATCAGTAATAATGAACCATCAATGCTCTGTTGCTGTCGTCCTGATGGGGGAGGAGGGCCTGGTAGTATGAAATCACTAAAGAAAATATCAACAAGCATGTCAGAAGCATCGTTACGTGTTGTCCAATGGAGGCATTACAGAAATGTTATTGCGCATCTTCCAGTTCTTTTCTCAAGGACACAGGGGTTGAATGAAGTAGGACCAGTCATTAGAGCTTGCTGCATTGGCAGATCCCACTGACAGCTCACAGCCATGGGTGTTGTAGTTGTAGTTGAAGCCGATGCAGGTTCTGTTGTACATGCAGTGGGTGCTGCACTCAACTGCAGATGTGACATCAACTGGGACAACATCCCCGACATACCTGGTGCCCACCAAGCGCTGTAGTTTGGTCTTGACACCTGTGAAGACAGTTAAAGAAAGAGTTCATCAAATACAAATTTCGTTTGACATCGATTTCACAAAAACCAAATGCCTTAGTTTGTAGGAATTTAGGATCGTTTTAAGTAGTAACCTCACTTCATGACGGCATACAAATTGCCAAGGCTGGGCCAGACACTCCGATGATTTGCACTGAACTGAATAACCGAGTTTGGCCGAGTTCGTTAATTCGCTTCTTATGACATGCATAGGTGGAGCCAATGCAATTTTTGTTTTTCAAGAATAGGAAAATATCTACGGGAAAATTGCTTCAAACTTTGATATTAAATTCTCAAACGTTAGGTCACGTCATGTGTTCTCGAAGGTCGAGACATCTGGGTATGTTGCATCATGATCAGGGGAATAACAGATACTCTAACGATTGTGAATCATTAGAATTTTAAACAGACAAACCCCTTTCCACATCGATAAGAAATCTCG